TAATGAAAAATTTTATAAAAATTTAATTTAATGTTGAGATCAACAAGCAACAGAAAAAGAAAATTATCAATATCAGATAGAGGAAGAAAATTTTAACTGAAATAGTCAGTTTCATATTATTATATTTCAATCTCTAGCTATATTTTGCATAACCAAAATACGTAAAAAAAAAAAAAAAAAAATCGACTAAAATAGAAGCATGCACAAACAAAAATCTAGAAAAATGGTCTTGAGTTCTTGCATATTCAAAAGGTAAAACAAAAGACTAAAGGTAGTGTAAAAGTCTAGGTTTTCTACCTTAAAACTCGTTTAAAATATATCTCAACAATAATTGGAACTTAAGAAATAAATTATCACAAATTTCGTATTCATGTTTATATAAATAACAAAGATTTAAAATAGAATTTACATTTTCGAATATATCTAATAAATTGCAACAAAAGATGTAGTTATTACAAGATTTTATATAAATGTGGTTCTAACTTTTATAGTCACCATGACAAAAGATTCCCGAATTACTTTGACATATCCGGTTAATAGGTTGGACAATTAATAAACGATCAATAACTAAAGTTCTTATTTATTAATCAACAATTCTTATGAAAAGCAGCATAAACGACAAGATAATTAACTAAAAAATGTAGTATATGATAATTTTTTTACATCTTGTTTATCTTGTATTTTTATTATTATTTTTTATCGGATTTTTCTTGAAATGTCCGTACGTTATCAATTTTTAATTATTAAATATTAAAAATATTAATCCTTCTCTTTTTTTTCTTTTGAAACAGAAAAGATCTACATAAATATGCATGCTATTAATTTATTTTTTAATATAAAAAAATAGTAATTTTGTTCTTTTTTATTATTTTTACAAAAGATACAATTTAATATTTTGAGAATCAGGACTCCACGGCTCTTAGTCTTGAAACACAACCCAACTACTACCAGGTGCTACCTTCACTCTCTTCTCCCTCATTTCCTTTCTCATTCTCTGTGCTTCTTCGTGCCTCCCCATGCTGGCATAGATTCTAGCTAACAGCACATAATTTGCAGCATTTTCAGGCTCAATCTCAAACAGAGCTCGCCCAGCAATCTCAGCAAGCTCAACCTCCCCATAAGTTCGACACGCGCCAAGCAGTGCTCCCCAAGTTTTTGCAGTTGCTTTTATTGGCATCCCCTGTATTACTTCATATGCCTCGTGCAACCTCCCCGCTCTGCTCAAAGCATCAACCAGACATGAATAATGGTCACTATTTACTTGCACACCATAATCATCACGCATTTTTGCAAAATAACCCAATGCTTCATCTGCCAATCCAGCATGACTGCAAGCTTTAAGTACCCCGAGCAAAGTGATTTCATCAGGCTGTACTTTAGCTAACTCCATCTGCCTAAAGATTTCCAGGGCAGTTTTGGCCTTCCCATGAAGAGCATATGCAGATATCAGGCTACTCCATGCAACTACATCTCTTTCTTTCATACTTTGAAATACATAACGTGCGTAAGTAAGACACCCACATCGTCCGTATGCCTCAACTAAGCCACTTCTTAGATGTGGGTGCTGCTCAATACCATTCCTAAAAGCATACCCATGAATTTCTTTGATCAAACTCAAAGCCGCTATGTTCACACAAGCAGGCAACAAAGCAAGAAGCGTGATCAAATTAGGTCTCAAACCCCACGTTCCCATTCTCTTGTAAAACACAATAGCCTTAAACGGTCCATCCCCCTCCAACCCAGATAAACCAGAGATGATATTATTAAAAGACGATTCATTTGGTGCAACATCCATATCATAAAACAATTGTATAGCATCAAGAATCCGACCGTAGTGCAAGTAAAGAGAGATCATGGAATTCCATGTTACTACGTTTCTCTGAGGAATTTCATCGAACACTTTGTGTGCGTGCGAGACGGAGAAGCACTTGCCATACATATCCACAAGAGCACAAGCTACGAATGGATTAGAGATAAAGGATAACTTGGTAACTTGGGCGTGAATGGAAGAGCCGATATGAGGGCGACGGGTGGCGGCGCAGGACTTGAGAGCAAGAGGGAAGACGAAGGGGTCGAGAAGAAGAGCGAGAGAGGAATGGATTTGGCGGAAGAGAACGAGTGCTGCGTCATGGCGGCCTTGGTTGACATTAGAGGTTAACTGCTTGGTGAGTGAGACCATTCTTAAGTAGTTGGAGGAGTAACTGGTCATGATTACCGGAGAAAATGCAGAGTTTGTCAGAGAAGAAAAATTTATTCAGTTCATAATGTTCCATTGAAAAGAAAAAAACTGTTTTCTACAATTTTCTCAAAATTTTATAAAATTATTTCAAAACATATCTTTTTTTTTTTCTTTTGCTAAAATTTTATAAAACGAGCAGTCCATTTTGAAAAAAATAAATATTACCCAAGAAGCGGGGTCTAAATAATATTATACCGTTTTAAATAAAGATAGATAATAATATTATCACGTATTAGAATTAATTGTGTATAACACATAAAATTATTACGAATCTAATAAGTTAAATAACAGTTTCTTCTACACTTTCTTCTCTAATTCTCGTGGCTAATCTTGTACGTTAACGATCTTGATATTCCAAACCTGCAATTAACCTAACACAAAATCAAGATAAATAAACAAGAAAAGACAAGATACTTGTTTCTTGTACAAACAAGCATATAATCTACTTTTAACCAACAAGTCGAGTCAAACAATATCATATCAATTTAAATGAAGATAGATATAAAGATTGTTCTGAATTTAGATTAACTATGTATAACCCACGGAGTTATTGCGAACCCAATAAGCTAAACAAAAATTTCTTATGTACTTTTTTCTCTAATTCTCATAGTTAATTTTACACGCTAACAATTTTGCTATCCCGAACCCATAATCAACCTAACACAAAATCAAGAAAAATAAACAAGAAAATACAAATACTTGTCTCTTATCCAATCAAGCACAAGAAATTTGAAGTTCACATTTACCTCTCAGTTGGGAGGAATTAAGTCTTTGTTTCTAAGATTCGTAGGTAAAGAAAGAGGTGACCATTTCCATCTCTCTTTTTCCATCTGTTACGGTACATAAACCTATCAAATGAAAAGAGATTCACGTTTAATTTGGAATATTTAATTCTCGTTTTGGAGATTAATCAGACTGACAAATTTACTTTTTAAAACTTATTCTGTTTGTACCAAGGATTTGGAAAAAGAAATCGTATTTAAACCAAACGAGAAGAAAAAAAGGTACAAATAATCCATCACAATCCAAACTTACATCGTCAACTTTGAGATTGACTAGCCTAATGAACATGCTGCAAGATTTTCAAGAATCATCGAGTTTTGAGATCTCTGCTAGCAAGCTCCAACATCGGGACATGTAAGCTTCTCATAGGTGCTGGAAGATATGAAAAGACGAGGCTGGGTCTGACTCTTTTCCCATCTTCTCCAGTGAATTCTTCATTTCCAGAACAGACAACTTCAGACTTTTAAAACCCAGCAAGACAAGCATGAAAGTATAACATAAATCAAAATATTAAATAGTTAATCTTACTTGCACTTGTCCACTGGTCCTGAATGTTACATGGTTTGATTCCTTGTCAGATTTTTCTTTAAACCAAGAAAACTAAACGACACTAGAAACCAGAAAAGTTTAAAGAAAATAATCTTCCCTTAACCTAATGATCTTTCACGGGTTTCTTGATAAGAATGTGGATTAAAAAGAAAATAAAGAAAGGTTGAAACAATATTCTAGAAAGATTTCTTACCCTTTCTCCTACTCAACTGCAAATGCTTCTGTCCTTTTGTCCTCTGCTTTGAGAGCAACCAAACGCCAGCTTTACATATTCTTGGTCTTATCATGTCATTTTTGATGTTCTATGCTCACAATCAACCGAACAAATGCTCTTCTCCCTCCCCCTCTATCTCCTAGCCTGTCATGAGAGAGATTCTATCTTCTTTTTCGGAGAAGCACAACATGAATATAAATTTTGCATGAGTGGTTATGGGGGCAGGGGACGAGGGAGAGGGAGTACCACAAAGAAGAGCCCAAGTGAAGGAACTTTAGCAAGACCCCCTTCTCTGTCCTCCACTGTCTCCTAGCCTCTCATGTGAGGAGATCAAAAGGAAAAACTAGAGGGATGAGCTTTAAGGTGTTTCAAGGTATAATAAAGAGGATAGATGGTAATATTTTGCATGAGTGGCTATGCAGATAAAAGGAAGAGAAAAAGAGTCCTAAAATGAAGAGCCCAAATGAGGGAACTTCAGCAAGACTCCCCTTCTCCTCCTCCGCCATCTCCTTGCCTCTCATAGGAGGAGATCAAAAGAAAACTCCAGGGATAATATTTGAGTTAAGGGGTTTCTAAGTATATATAGAGGATAAATGGTAATTACTGGGGTTAATTTCCAAAACCTTCCTAAAATATAAAAATTTACTGTGTTACCATTGTCCTCTAAGAAACCTATAGGTTAATAATAACAAAATGCATAAACCTTTGCACAAAAATAGATAAACATATAAAACTTGTAACATATTATTGGCTACAATCCTCAGCATTCATCTATGTCTAGCTACCAGCAAATATAATCCCATCAAACTTCCAAGTAAGCAGGTAATTTATCAGTAAATTGTAGTTTTTACCAAATAGATTTTTCCCTGTGAAAACAGGGGGTTGATCCACTCCGCCAAACATGGTGGATTGAATGATCAGAGATATCTTTAAGAACATTATCACTAATAAGAAATAGAAAAACACAGAGAAGTCCAAGATCAAAATCTGCAAAAAGAAAAAAAGCTCTAGAAACTTCTAATAATACAAGGATCAATTGTAAGAAAAAACTAAAACCATGAAGTATTTATGGAAAGAAATCAATACCGTTACAAAATTGAATTGCGAGTGACAAATTAATCACAGGAGCCATCTCAATAAATACAAAGGCCCACTCTTGTTACAATCTGATAGCTTGTAGAGCGCCTCCTACGCTCTCAAACGATCATCCACGTCAGATGCCTATAGCCTGCCCACTTGGCAGCAACTCGGATGCCAATGGCTAAAGCTGCAAACAGCAGTGGCACTGGAACCCTCCTACCAGTCATTAAAACTTCAACTTCCTCCTTTTGTTCCAAAGGTTTCTTTGAATGGTGAAAAATAGCTAGAGCTAGATATGAAGCCATCACCAAAAACCTCACCCAGGGTTCCCCAACTGCAACTAGTACAGCTGCAACAGGCAGTGCAGATGTAACATCGTCTCGCTTTTTGACTAATCGGGAGAAACTATACAAGCCCACCAGAAGTGTCCAGAAGAATAGCTCAGAGATATAGCTTCTAACCGCTGCATAACCAATTAGGCCAGATATTGTTAGAAGATATGACTGGCTGCTTACAGAGTTTGGAACTGCAGCTTCTCCAATAGCAAGCACAGCTGACGCAAGCATGATAATTGTAGTTAGTTCTGGAATAGGAGCATATGCCACAATCCAGGAGTAGGAAGCTCGGACAGTATAGGTTGCTGTCTCTATACATCTAATCACAGAAGTGACTGGATCTCCTATGAAATGGAAGATAAGTGCCACGCCAAGTTTCAAAAGGTATCCAACAAAGCGAACTGATGCCAAGGCAGCCTTTCTCCAATTAGATAGTTCAAAAAGGACGGCTCTCCATGCATAGACAAGGAAGGCTGATGCTGTACAATAATTGAAAACCAGGCTATTTAGACAACTGCACAGAAAAGAGTTGCATAACAAATACAGAACCCACAGGAAGCGATAAAATAAATAAATAACTAAAAGGACTGACAAGGTGAATGTTCAGGAGAAAAGAATAAGGATTAGATTTTCTTGCAAGCTATACAAAATAACCAATTCAATCATGTACCATATTGAATTTAAATAAAGGCTGCTGCTTCTGATCAAGCAGATTGAATTAATCCTAAAAAGAAACAACAAATAACCAGTGAATTTCTAAAGATTAACATCAGGAATAGTAATTAACATCATACTAAAATCTGGTTAGCATCATTTCTTTTTTAATCTGAATCATAAAATTAGGTCGTCCACATCTTTTTGGGCCAAAATTCTTAAACTATCCACTAAAACCTAAGGAATCACTCACAAAATTCTCAGCAACCAAGCCGGAGGCGCACGAATTAAGCACAAGGATAATGATAAACTCTGTTATGCCGAGAGTGAAAGAAACCTACCCACAAACCAAGGCCACCTCACGGGAGGATCAGGTGCTTCTTTAGTCAAGTACCTGAATCTATCAGGCATTGTACTCTCTCCTCTCGCCAATCTCTCTGTCTCATCAATCTCATCCCCAATTCCATTGTTGCTTTCTCCTTTCTTACAATTCAAACAAAACCGAGATTTCCTATCCCTCAAAATCCTGGGAATTTTATCGGAGAAGCCGAGAAAGTTATGGTTGAGCTTCAGGCTTAAGGATTGAACTGTAAAGGCGGTTTCATTCCGATTGCAGAATGATAGACGAGAAAATGGAGAGATTTTCAGAGAGGAAAGAGAGGGTTTGAGAGATGAACTGGGGGAGGAATAGACAGACACAGCAAGTGCCGCCATCGTTCTCGCGACGAACGCTTTTGCCCCGAAGAGAGCTGCAGTTTTTATCCTAACTAATATTTATATAATTAAATTAATTAATTAATATTAATTGATAATTAAAGAAAAATAATAATGTCAACACGTGTCAGACACTCAGGAAGTTATAATGCGTCCAATGAACCCATGCCACGTGTTTACCAGTCTTGGGCGGCTTCCGCCAACGAGAAGCCACGTATATAAGGAAACGGAACTGAAGAAAATACGCCTGAATGGACGGTAACTTTCCATCCATCCCAGTTCCCAAATTGTTCGATCTTTAACCCCAACCATTGAATTCAACCTTTCTCACATTTACTTCTCCTCAAACACTCATCCCGTTTTGCCTACTACGGCAATCCTCCTCTGCATTCCTTATGTTGGTGTTCTTCTCTTCCGCTATTGAATTAGGTTTCTTTGTGAAACTGCGCGATTCTGGCTTTCTTCCGTGGTTTGAGCGTGATTGAGCGGGTGTAATGGTTGACGACGAGGATAGATTAATCTTTAGTGAAGTTTTCAAGTTTTCTTTTACAATATCCTTGCGTTGAATGGTTTTATGTTCTTCTTGTTCTTCTTTTAACATAGTTAATGTTTCTTGCTATTTCTTTTATTATTTTATTCAAAATAAAGAACCTGTCGTGTCGTGATCAATTTGTGATGATGAAATCCCTGTACTTCAATTTGAATTTATTAGTTGATTTTTTTTAATCTTGCTTCACAATCAAGGATTGAAATTCCATCTCGACATTCTTGGGTAAATAGTCCAACTGTTTTGACGCTTTCTTCTTCTTCTTCTTCTTCTTCTTCTTCTTCTTCTTCTTCTTCTTCTTCTTCTTATTCTTCTTTCCTTGATGAAATCTTATTATTATTGTTATTATTATTATTATTTATTATTATTTCTATCATTTTTATAATTTGTTCTTGTTCAGAATCTTAACTTTCTTTCCTATATTCAATAATGTCATCCATATGCTAGCTTGTTCCATCTAAAAGCGATAAAGGCCTATTTTTGGCAGTTTTCTAGTTTACCTGCATATCGTTTATTTGAGTTCTTAAAATTATGGAGTTGAAATATTGGACTGAATGTGTATGCGTATAGATATATACGAGCATATATTTGTTTTTGTATGGCGGTGGGACCTTGTGTCTGGATTGAGTCATAATTGGCTTTACATTTCTATTTCAGTTGGTGAAATTTGTTTCACAAAGGTACGTGACCTAGGGTGCCTATAGGAGTGGGGTAAGTTTGCCAGTAAGATGATTAGTAGTTGCAATCTAGATCCTGATGTTGTTCGCTGGGGCCTCCATCATCTGGACGTTTGTACTCTTACGAATGCTGGTTCTCATGGTAATGTTACTAAGTATGAGGCAGACACTAGTCAAGTTGGGTATGTTTATGAAGGTTACCATGAACCAACATATATAAATGTGGAAAATGATGCGGTTATTGCACGGGCTTTTCAAGAAGAATTAACACGGGTTGCTGCAGCAGAAGCATCTGGAGTTCCAAATCCTGTTCAAGCATCTGTTATTGCACAGGATTGGGTTGATGCACCAAAACGATATCCTAGTGATGGTAGTTGGAGATTCCATTGCTGCAATTTTGGTTCCTTGAACTGTTTCTGTTTATTTCACTGTGATAATATTATTATCTACTGTGTATAGGGTGTGAACATGGATCAGAAACAGCAGTTGATGCTCACAAAAATGAAAAAGAGACAGACTTTGATAAAGAGGGAAATTTTGGCACAGAAAAAAATGATGAGGGCAAAAATTCTGTGACAGGAGAGAGCTCATTTATTGAGGAAGACCTGTTGCATTCTCTGGTTATAACAGATGACGCTTCCACAATTGATGGTGAAGTTGGGAAGAGATTGAACCTCATGGTTCCTGTTCCTGTAAGTATAACCACTTTGATATTAGGTAATTACTCCATTAGGTACTGTTTCCTGTTTCTTTTGAATGTAGCATCCATAAAAATCATAGTAGTAAATCAAGGTGTTAAAAAGGAAAAAACTCATGGTTTTAAAGAGGGAGTAAATTAAGGTGCTAAAGAGGAAGAAAATCATGGTATTAAAGAGGAAGAAAATCGAGGTCTTAAAGAAAGAAATAAATCATTATATTAGAAAGGAAACAAATCAAATTAAAATGTAAAATTATATTATTTGTAATTAATTATAGTTGTTTATTTCCTTTTCCGTCCAAAAAACCCTGTATGTATAAGGCTTTAATATTAAATAGAATACACATAAGTATAAACTAATACATGGTGCAAGATAATGGAAAATAGACAGGGTTTAGGGTGGTACACACCCAATCTGCAGCTGCCTGCTACGTGAGATGGTCACCCCATTCACCACTCCTATTTCATCCACATAAAAATAGGAGTATAAACATGAGAAGTGCTTAATAAAAGCCATGGAAATGAGTTAATATTTTTTTACAGAAAGAATAAAGCGCAAGAGAAAAAGAAGTAGGATGAGAAAATACTTGCTCATTTTCTTCAAATAGTCGCCATAATTCATAGGAACATAACCCCCATACATTTCTGGATGGGACTTGAGCTGATTACATCAAAACATTTGACAGAAAGAAGCATCAATAAAATATGTCAACAAAAACAAAATGTTGCAAAATTCATACAAGGAAATAAGCTTACTGTCCAAACTGTGACCTACCTGGTTAACAACCTGCCGTCTTACAAACTTATGGTGCTCGGTAGAACGATAAAGTTGATCCGATAACGACCGAAACTGCAAAAACAAAATAATAAAGGAGATTCTATGTAAGTTATAAATGAAGCATGATTGGATCAACTTAAAATCATTTCTTGCTTACTCGACCATATTTTTCAAGTTATCCATATTTGACTGCATTTAGCTTTTATTTCAGCTAATGCTAATTATATTCACAATCAAGCAAGACTATGTTTTAATTTCCACTTGTAATGCGGAAGACAAACAGAACTTTTGCACTTCAATTTTTCTCTTAATTTTTTCTTATTTTACAGATAAATTTGTAGTCGGTGTTGAAGAATTTGCTGATTTAGTGCCCAATAAGCAAAAGAAGAAAGTCCAAAAGAATTTTAATTTTCTGTACATGTATTTAAAGTACACCAAGAAAAAAAATTTCACGGATTGTCAGGGAGAAAGTTTTATGACAGGAAATCTGAAGTATGCATGATCTTTTCAATTTTATCATGAAGGAGTCCTCCGCCAATGCATTTTGATGTTTTTATTACTTTGTTTGACAATATAAAATAGATTTTATTAATGTTTCAACTCAGACATTGCAGTTAGACCATAAGTAAACTCTTACAAAAATTTTAATTCCACTATAGAATCTGGAAAAACTTCCTGAATTTTTAATTGATACACATACATATTAAGAAACAATTGTTATTTAAGTAAATCTTGTCATAAAAATCTAAGATATAGTTATACCATTAGTCTCATTGAAACAAATAGTTCTTTATCATTGGAAAAATGTGCCTGTTGTTCTTATTTGTGGCTATACATCTCTAAATTGGCTAAAGGTTGACACTTTTAAATATTACATTTCTTTTGTGCAGCATGTTCCTAAAATTAATGGAGACATACCTTCGGCTGAAGAAGAGGGGTCTGATCATCAAAGGCTTCTTGATAGGTCTAGCATCAATTTTTCTCCGTCAAGTGCTACTTACAATTGATTTGTCTTGCAAACCTTTTGTGAAAAGAGCATTTTATGAGTGTTCAATATATTTTGTTTAATTTCTGAGCAGTAGTTGATATCAGAAATATTTTTTGTTTATTATGTTCTTCAGATTACAGTTGTATGATCTCATTGAGAATAAGGTTCAAGGAGATGGAAATTGTCAGGTTGGTTCTCTTTTCTGGCATGATTGTCATGAATAATACTCAACATCGATATAAAGGATTTGTTGGATTTCTATCAATAATATTATGAAGTTTTATGGAGTATTCATCTGTAAAATACGTAAATATTGTCTCTTAGTTGTTTATGCTGCACTTGTTATGCCGCCAATCACATATTTCTATTGGTTGCTTTCCAATGACTTGCCTAAAGCTGAATATATTTTTACACTTATTCTTTGTTATGCAAGATTTTAACAAATTCCTAATTATTTACAAAGGTTTTGATGAATGTTTGTTAGGTATGTATTCCCTTGATCATTTATGCTTTGTTTTTGTCTGACATTTTGAGTTACAAGCGAAAGTAAGCCTTGCCATGCAGATTCACTCAAACAAAGAAACTGCCCTGCTACCATTGTTCTTCATAGTTCTGACTGTGGCACAATCAACCATGGCAACACGTTCATTGCTTTCTTTCAACTGTTCTTTATTGATAATTTATGTTTTGGAATGATCAGCTGTGTCAATTGGAGCATTTTAATCATGTGATTAATTGCTTAACAGAATTTAGAAGTTCTTTTTTTCAATAAATTTCTGTAATAGAATAATAGTATTATTTTATTTCCCTTAACCTATTGCAACTGCAGGACTTTAAGTTGATCCAATCATGCTTCATTCATAACTTACATAGAACCTCCTTTATTATTGTGTTTTTGCAGTTTCGGTCGTTATCAGATCAACTTTATCGTTCTCCCGAGCACCATAAGTTTGTAAGACAACAGATTGTTAACCAGGTAGGTCACAGTTTGGACAATAAGCTTATTTCCTTGTACGAATTTTGCAATATTTTGTTTTTGTTAACATATTTTATTGATGCTTCTTTCTGTCAAATGTTTTGATGTAATCAGCTCAAGGCCCATCCAGAAATGTATGGGGGTTATGTTCCTATGAGTTATGGTGACTATTTGAAGAAAATGAGCAAGTATTTTCTCATCCTACTTCTTTTTTCTCTTGCACTTTATTCTTTCTTTTAAAAAAATATTAACTTATTTCCATGGCTTTTATTAAGCACTTCTCATGTTTATACTCCTATTTTTATGTGGATGAAATAGGAGTGGTGAATGGGGTGACCATGTCACATTGCAGGCAGCTGCAGATTGGGTGAGTACCACCGTAAACCCTGTCTATTTTCCATTATCTTGCACCATGTATTAGTTGATATATGTTTTATTGAATTGATTTCTTATGTAATAGTTCATTTTGATAAAAGTTTATTTGCTTTAAGGATTAGATAAGATGATGGTAGCATAATAGTAGTTGTTTCTGAAGATAATTTGAGATATATTTATTTCTTATCATTTCTTCTCCTGAAAAAAGAAAATAACGGGAGACCTCCTTTATTTTAGCAGAGCAGAGAGACTTTTTTCCTTTTTTTTCTGTTAAATCGTAGTATCTCCTTGAATTTATTTTTTCTCTAATTCTTTATTCCTTAAGTGAGGAAACTTGTTCTAAAGAGGGAAGTTCTAAGATAATTCTCATTCTTATATAAATGTTCATCTCATGCTTGAGCTTGTGGTTGAGTGTTCTGGAGAACAATTCATTTGTTTACTTACATAACTGCGATAATGAGATTATAAATGAACAAAGCAACAAACATAATGGAGTTGCTAAGAGATGCTAGTGAAAGTTTGTTGGCAAGCCACACTAGCTGCTTTTAGAGAGTAAAGAAAACAGAAGCACTATGGTTTATTATCATGAAGTGATGTCATGGGAGATTATACAGATAACTAATTCTATTTTTCTGGAATAATTGCAGTATGGCGTTAAGATATTTGTGATTACTTCCTTTAAGGATACTTGTTACATTGAGATTCTTCCACATGTTCAGAAGTCTGAACGACGTAAGTTTGCATATGCTCCTGTGGCCATCATTTCCATTTTTATATGGCCAACATGATTTAAAACACTTGAGAAGGACTGCAGGCTGCTGTCATATGAAAATTGAAGGCGTAATTATGTTGTTATATTGACACAGATACTAAAAATAGAAATTCTTTGTGTTATGTGCAGTTATTTGCTTGAGCTTAGGGCAGAAGTGCATTACAATTCAATATATCCAGAAGGAGGTAAAACTTTTACATCCATAAATCCTTGCATGAATCTTTCTAGTTTTTC